TTTGGCTGCCAACTTGTCTATTTTGACATTCGTAGTTTAAAAAACGCACCAGTTTACTCGCAGCTTTTACGTATGAACGTTTTTGAATGAAAGTACATTAGGACAATTTAGTACTCGACGTGCGGCGGTGTCAGTGCCTGCAATCAAAATTTGTAGGCAGTTCCTCAAACTGCCCCGTTCCTTAATCTGCCCCACTCTCCCCTACTGAAATAAACGCAATATACATCATCTCGACACTTCGAATTCTTACCTTTGCTCATTTGTTGCTCTACAGGACGGATACTGTGCAGTAAAAGGAAATTTACGAAAGCTACTGAAACCAAAATGGAATTTAAAAAAATTAAATTTATTGTGAGCTTCAATATTTACCCTAAAATTTTATGACGATGTAGTACGCTTGACTTCGGTTAACATACGATAATGTTTTAAAAAAACAAAAAAAACAAAAAACTGGCGACAAGCGCCGGCGCTTTTCGTGTCGTCCATTGATGTTCTGAGCACAAAATTACCCGGTAGCGATGCCGCTCTCAGGGAACTGCGGTGACAGTGCTTAGCCCCACACGGAAAATAGACATCAATAGATGATGGTAGATTGTCTAATGTCTACCGTCCGTCTATTCGGTCTAGAGACATCTATAGACGTCAATAGAGCATCTGAAATGGGTAAAAATTGTTTATATCTACTTATATACTGTAGCCATCGATCGACGGTCTTGAGGTTACATCTGATCTATATATACTTCTGTCGATAGGAAGATATCTATAGATCACCTGCCACCAGTCTATGACGTCTTGGTCTACCTTTGATGCAACGATAATACGTCTAGTAGATATTGATCCGAAGTCTTAAAGGTCCACGTACTGAGGTCTAGGTAACTCTCCGAGTCATTTCTCATGCACTGTCTAGAAGTAGACAATCTATAGATGTGCACAGCCGTCTATACATCTCTGTGGAAGGATATCATTTTGCAACAAGCTCCTCTTAGAAGCAACCGATGGGTGAGGGGTAGCGTTCGTTCGCGCTCTCGAACTCAAAGGTTGAGGGTTCTAATCCCAGCAGTGGTGACAGATTCGAACGTCCAAAGCAAACCAAGGTGAACGTAGAGCCATGAGGGAGTAGTCAGATGGCCCGAGATCAAGTCAATTTTTTAAATTTTGTCGTAAAATACTTGTCTTTGGTTTGTTTATCAGTAGATATCTGTATAACTTCGACAAAAAGACGTCTCCTAGATGTTGTAACTGAGGACACTCGATCAATTATAGACGTCTAGTAGTAGACAACATAATACGTCCGTAATACGTCTTATAGACCACTAGGGGTCTACAGAAAGATGCATATTAGATATCTAATAGACGTCTTTTTTCCGTGTGGGGTTTAGTAGTTACGCCCCAATTTTCCAAGATGGCGTCATCTGGAGCCTTACTGGTACGTTGTACGGACTTGCAGTGTGTTTCATCGTCTTTCCCATACCAAAATTATCCGGAAAATTACTAAAAATGGGCTCTGTAGGACCTTTTTAAAATTTTGAACATTTTGAACAAATATTGAACAGGGCGCATCCTGTTCAAAATAGTTCCAGATGGTCAAAATTGTTAAATGGACCTCGGATTCGGACTTTGGGGTGCTGTTATATGCGAAAACGACACCCAACACGGGGTATTACGGTAAAAAGTCTTCTATAAGGATTTAGGCCCTTTTTTCCAAAATGGCGGCCTCTAGGTCCTACATGAGAGGTTGTACGGACTCGGGGTTTGCTCCATTCGCTTTTTCACGTCGAAATCTTCCGAAAAAGTGTCTGATATGGCCTCTCTGCGACAATTTTCAAAATTTCGTATTTTTTGAACAAATTTTGAACATTTGCGTTAAAATTTCGGCTCCTATGAGTCCAAAATGAGTGTGCTGCGGGTCAAATCAAAGAGTAGGGTCTAAAGAACCCCTACACCAAAAATCACGCTTTTTGTCCTTTTTGCGGTATTCATCTGAAAGTATCGGTGTACCGCCTCGACTAAAGTTTCTATTTTATAGTTTCGAGCAATATTTTTTGAATAAAGAAGTTTGCGCCGCGTCATAGCGCCCTCTCACTCGTACAATCTGCTTTTGGACGCCATGTAGGCATTTCATGCATGCTCGCTGCATTGTTCTTGTTCTTGATGTGTCTTTTTGCGCGATATTTTTTGAATTAGCCTATTAATCATTACTTTTATAATTGAACACAATTCTTGGCATGAGCGCTGGGCAGAGCGGGGGGGCTGACTTCTCAGAGAGCAAGGTGTCTATCGTTGCTCTGGTGCCCGGGCGTGGGTGTGGAGCTGCTAAACAGGTGGTGTTGAACCATGACGCGCCCGCCCCGCCCGCCCCCCTACTGTCTGGCAGAAACGGGTCCGTCTAAAAGTGGGCAGTTCTTAGCAAATTAGTGCCCTAGCGTAGCGCGTGCCTAGTGTCATGCCTCGTGTGAATGGCGATTCCGTTAAGTACTTGGGCAGGACCAGAGCACCACACTGGCACTCAGGCCGGCCGGGCTGAGCAGGCTGCACCCGAGTCTTAGCCCGGTGACGGGGTGGGCATTCTGCACGGGCCGCCAACCAGGAAGACAGGCTTAGGCGCAGCCTAGGCGAATCGGCTGGCCCTGCTTGTGCGTGTGGTGCCCGTGTTCTTCCAGCATACTCAAGGAACTCTCCCACTTTGCACCCACGTGGGGCAAGAGCTACGCATGTGCTATGTCCGCACGGGGCACTGATTCGTGCTGATCCACCGACTTGTTTTCATTAGTGTAGAGGTCAGGGCGTTTCAATTTAGTCTAACCTTTAGCTCTTTCAACGTACTCCAGCGCACTCTCGTAGTGCGCAAGCTCAACGGCAAGTTCTTGTTGTTTCATGTTAACATTTCTTATTTTCTCCTAGGGATTCGACGATGTATATCAACTTATTAGATGGATGGCAATGAAAAAATGTTGTAAACAAAAGTCACTTTAAGAAATTCGATAGTTGCGAACTCTCCCATGAGAGGGATGGTAATGACTCGGAGAGGGAACAAAGGGGGAGAGTTGCATTGTTGCAATCTCCCTCCTGGCCAGCTCTGACGGAAAGCAGGGGGGTACTTGCAGTAAAATGAGCTGGGGAATCTGAAACTGCCATGGGTTTTACGATCGGGTGAAGTTTAGGGGGCGATATGGGGAAAATGCACCATTTGCAGAGAAATACCCAAATCTTCAGGGTCTCCTCGGGCAGAAAACAGTTTGTGAGAACGGAGAGTTTCACTGAAAGCATATCACGGCGGGGCAGGAAGCCGGAGTGCCGGCTGGCATGCAGTGACACCTACCCCTTTGGTACATGTATAGGTTTCGCGGGACGGGGGACGTGGAGGTGATGGCGTGGGGATTGTGTTTACACCGTCGAACATGTTGACGGTGAGCACCTCTAGCCAGAGCCGGAATCCACGCCCGAACCTCACTCGTTCTCACTCGCTCGGCTCTGACGCCCGACTCGCTCTCGGTCAGTGGGTGCGCAGCAACTGACCTTCTGAAAAACTGACCTTCCCGCGCTGAACTGACCGCAACCACTAGGTAGCGCTAGTGTTCATTGCCGCGCAACTGGAGAGCAGATGTTTCGATGTATTGTTATTAGCAATCGATACGTAGGGGTTCTAAAAGCGAGAAACGAGATTCTGGAAGTCTAGTCTTCATTCAGGGCTCCCGCCTGTTGTTTTTGTTTTGGTTGTCGTAGAATTTGTTCAAATTTTAATCTGTTTTCACACGGTAGATGAACAATAAAAATATAAAATAAAAAAAGCAATGAACTTGTCGTTTAATTTTATGAGCGTGTTGCAGAAATACAAGGATTAAGGATGTATGAGGTAGAAAAGTCACTCCACAGGAAATGCTCGGAAATGTGTCTTACTCCAGCCAAAATTGAGAAGCGATTCAAATTATAACTTCTTCTTTTCTGGTGAGTTACGAGAGAAGATTTTGTGGCCAGGGCAATGTAGGAATCCTTGTCGGTCCGGTCCAGGCTAGTTCCAGTTAGTTATTTCCTTGGTCGGAAAAGATACGCAAATAAAATGGACCGAACCGACGAGAATCCGGCCATAGCCTAACATTCGCTGGTCACCTCGGCGAGTGCAATTGTTGTTTCCGCCATTAACAATACTTCTTGTTTGTTTTAAGGACTGTCTAGTAGTGTGTAATTCCTGAGTAATGCCAAGAACAGGTGATGCTGAATCATTCTATACGGTCGAAAATTGAATGCATCAGATTAATGGTTTGCAAAACCAAAAATGTACTTCAACGTGATTTACTTGTAAGTATCATTGAACTGAGTGGGGCAGGTGAGAAAGCAGTACATAGATAGAATGTCAGTTGAACTTTTTACTAATTTTCATCATTCATGTAAAACAAATCCATGCCGTAGTCAATTGGCTCGTCCCAGTATTTCTCTATCTCCTCCTCCTTCTTCTCCTCGCTGCCTCGCTTAATAGCCTCCCACCACTCGCAGGCTCCCTCATGCTGCTTTTCTTCTAAATCGAACACTTCTGGGTCTGTGAGAAAGAAAAGTTTAAGGATTACAACAGTGCAACTGTAAGTTAGCAAGATTTGTTTTGTTTTTTATGAGCTGAGAGTTTGCAGTAACTAGGTAAAGCTGTATAGCCTTCCTTGAAAAAGAATCATAAATCGTAACTTTTTGCCCTGGAGACTTCTCCATGTGGACAGTTGCAAAAGTAAGATTCTTTTTCTGGGAAAATGTTACATTGTCCACGACTGAACTGAAACAAGTGTCTCGCTCAATTAGCCTAGTCATGATGTAAGAAGCAGAAGTGACGTATCATTTGCTTTGAACAGAAATGAACAGTGAAGAATCTAGTGCTATTTGGCTGAGCGTTAGCGAAGCCTTTGCTGTCATGAGGTGCAGGGAACTCTTTGGTCGTGTGTCTGTCTGTCTATCTATCTATCTGTAGTCACACATGTTTCTCAAAGACGGCAACTTCAATTGACTTCAAACTGCGCACGAAGCATCAGTATAAATCCGGTCGTATCGAGTTTAGTTTAGAAGTTTGATATAAGATGTTTGAAATAAGCGATCGTCTAATTTGAATTCGTAGTTTGGTGGTAGTAGGTTGGTAGCACGGCAATCGAGGGGAGGGGGAGCGCAAGTGTCTTCTGCGCTCACCTGAAGACTTTAATACCTTCTCAGCAGTGATTAAAATGTCAGATAGTCAAACCGAGTCTTTTAGTTTTAGTTTTAGAGTTGCGGAACTTAGCCTGCGAAGTTTCGCGAGTGTCCGATGAGAAGGAACGAAAGTGATATGTGGAATGGTTTACGTGTTTACTTACGTAAGCTGGAGGGGGCGGAGGTAGCGGTTTGGGAGAAATGTGCAAAGGTAACTATTGTTCTGGGTTCATCTTGACAAAAGAAAACGAAAATGTTTTATGCCCAAAGATGATCGGAATCGAAATGGCAGAGTTTTGTTCAAATGTTCAATAAAGTGTTAAATCGCCTCTGGTGGCCAAACCGTGCGTCGGAGGTCAATTCTGACGGCAGTTTTCGCCCTCGCCGAGACAAACAAGCCGAGTTATTCCCCTCCCAATTGAAAATTTGGTCGTTTTGGCACACTTTTACCCCTTTGGATTCTATTAACTTTGCCATTTCGACTATGATCGGCTCTGAGCATGAGACATTTCCTTTTTAATTTTGCAAGAGGAATCCAAATCTGGGATTCTACGAAAAATTTTATAACTTTTAGCAAATTACAATTTTACAAATTTTTCATTGGAACACAAAATAATGGTGTTCAGTCGTAAAACGACTAGAAGTCATTTTATCGTATGAAAAAGCATCTTTAAAGGCTTATTATTAAAGGCTTATTACACTCACAACTAATTTTTTCAATAGCAATATGTACTTGCAAGGGACCGAACAATATTAGAGCCATAGTCGGAACTTATTGTAGGATAAGCCGTTCAAAATCAGAACGAGATTTATAATTCTCTTACATAGACTAGATTTTTCTAGAGCCATATTATTTCTAATGATACTGAAATAAAATGGTGAGAGAATTTAAATTACATTCTATGATGAGATATATTACGGAACTTTCAATTATTAAACTAAATTACTTGTGATCATTAAAACATCTCGGAGAGATCAGATGAAAATGAATCAAAGAATGACAAATTAAAGTTTTCAATATGGGAGGAGTTTCAACACATTAAAATGAGTATTACTTGATATAATTTCACTTCAACCAGAGGCAAGTGAGGGTAGTGAATAAAATTTCTTGAGCTAATTGTAACATGGGTTTGCCTTACCCAGACTTTTACGATATTTAGGTGTTCTACTATTGTTCGATAAATTGTAAGTTAAATACTTAACAGTGTTTATTTCTTGAGGTCCCTCCCCCCCTCCCCCCCCCCCCCCTTCTTCAATCACGCTTCCCTGGCCTTCTATGTATACTTTACTGTGTTCTTTAAAACGTTGCTTCTGAGAATTTTGGCACACTGACTAACGCTCGGCCACTACGGGCTGCTGCACGTACTCCTACGTATTGTTTGTTAGACCTTGTCCACCTTGCCTTTCCGATAGTCCCCAGTGAAAAGATAGGATCAGAGTGACGTCAATACAGCAAAGAGAATCTTTTTGACAATATGAGGTCAAAATGATGTTCAGCTACGGAACTGGTTCTAATATAGATTTCATGAGCTTCTACCAATGTTATAACAGGAAAATACGACATTTACCGTCATTGAACGGACGCCCTGGCGTCCGCAGGCCAGGGCTTGGCAAGACCCACTGGTAGACCAACGGTGCTGGCGGTGGCGGCGGCGTTTCTGGCGGCGTGCGGGGGGTGCAGGGGGTGGTACAGGGTGCGACGCAGCGTGCCGGCGACGTTGATGCCATTGTCGAATGTGAGTGTTCTGTCGGCATCCTCCTGTTTATATTGGTTCGTGAGAGAGCCCCTTCCCCCAGCCCCTTACCCCCTTCCCTCTCCTGCCCTTTTCCTTATCACTCAAACATCACTACCACCATTTCCTTTTCAAGGGAATATCTAATTTGCCTTTTAAATAACGCTTGAAGTACAAGTACAACTGCTGCTGTGATTTAACTTTTTTTGCTTTTGCTTTCAGAGAGCTCTGTGACTAGGAAGAAGCTGTGGAGTATACAATGGCAACAGCTCAAATCTTGTTGAGTCATTGAAACTTCAGTTGGTCATACATAGCTGGTGGCCTTCGAGTAATGGAGTGTTTAATGTTACTTTTTACTGTTCAATCTGCTTGCTTTGGAGGGTTTGTGAGATTGCATCTCTGATGTACGTCAGCAAAGGGTTCTGTAATCCAATGTTCAATTAGGTTCATACCTGTGCCTTTTGTGGTTCGATTTGATTATTTAGAATAAAATTGTAAAAGAAAGGGTTTGATTGTTATAATGATTATTTGCCCATGTGACACAGTTGTGCGCGCGAGCCAGGTTGCGAGCCAGGCTGGCTCGCGCAGTTTTGTGCGAGCCAGCACGAGCCAGGTGCCTTCTGCAATCTTCGGGTCCCTTCGAGATCTCACAACTCTGGAAGGGACCCGTAGATTGCCGAAGGTGCCAGGCTCGTGCGAGCCAGATTCTGGCTCGCACAAAACTGCGCGAGCCGGCCTGGCTCGCAATCTGGCTCGCGCGCACAACTCTGCCATGTGATCATTTCATATGTGGTACAGACCGCAACCATATTGTTCAAATGTTATAAATGCTCTAAACAATATTCTGTTATCGTATTGAAAATTTTATGCCATTAGGTGACTGAAAAAAAAAATTGGGTTGCCCAGAAAAAATGAGGTTTTGAAGTTTCTAAAGTGAGCGAAAATGACTTCTCTGGGGAAAGGAGATTTGAAATTAAACATTGCACTTTGATGTAGGTTTTTGACTTTTTGTAATCATCAGTTTCAAAAGCATTACAAATTACAGAAATAGTGTCAAAAGAGACTATCTTAAATTAATCAGAACTGAGTAGTAGTGTGTTGTCGATCGTGACCCTGTCATCGAAACTAGGTCGTTTGAACAACACGCGTCATTTCGCGCGTTTGCATAAGGGGGGAAACAAGCACTGTAGCAGATTCCCCTCTCCTCCCCTCCTCCCCTTTGGATATTCGCAGTACAGTTGCTGGAGAGCAGACATGGCAACAGCCTGCTTTTGTATGGGGCTAATATCAAGATCGCAATGATTGAGTTAAAAATGTATCAATGTAAGACGTAATGAGGAAAAAACCAACTGTTCGTCAACTTTCTCAGTTTCATTCTCGTTTCTATGTTATTTACACAGGTATTGTTGAAGGAGAGAGGTGAGGTTATTGTCCTACAAGCCTATCATCCGAGCGATTTCCGACTTGCCAAGTGGACAAATGTGTACGTGTACCTAAGTTACATAGGTTACAACCTAAAAGCTGTGATTTGACCGCAAAGAACCAGGGCATACTTGACCCAGGGTCCAGTTGAATTTTATGGTTCAGAGTAACTTCTACCAAATGAAGGTGTGTATGTGGCTTAAAGACAAAGGGTAGAGGGAACCAACTGACTGATCAACACAACAAATTTTTACCAAACTCTTTTTAATTTTCAGCCCAGGGACGACGCAGCAGGGCTCCACTGAAAATAACCAGCACATTGGTGACACTAGACTATAGAAGAAGTCAAAATTATGAAGTATGGCCTTTTTATCAATGACTAAAGTGTAAGTGAAAATTATACCTAGGTCTTTTGCTGAGCTCTCTTCAGCCTCCTCTTCTCTTTCATCTTCAGCTTGTCAGCCGCAATCTTCTTGGCCTTCCCCTTTTTGATGAGCTTTCCTTCTGTAACAATAAGAGTTTATAGTGAAAATTGTCTTGATATTCAAGCATTGTTGGAGAGGAACTCACCGTCTTTAAGTCGTCTCTTCCTCTCCTTCTGCCGTCTACTTTTCCCCAACTTCATCGTTTGCCTGCAAATCAATAAGTCAATTAATAACGGTCTGTTCTGTTAAATAATTTCACAAAGAGGTAGGAAGAAAGTACATACTCTTTAGTGAGTGGTCCTAACTCTTGCCTGTGCAACAAGAAATTATATTAGTTACTTTAGTGTAGAGGAAGGGAAAACTAAAATTGCAATACTGGAATTTACGCACTGCTCCTGCTCCCCTGCAGATGATGATGAAGGCCTGCTGAAACAAAAATTCTTACATATCTCTCTCTACAATACAAGTCTCTGGTTTAGCACAAATTATAATATATTTCCTTTCTCCCTGACAGGTGAACATTGTTGACAGGTTGTGTTGAAGTTTTAATTTGTTATCTATTATACTAAATGACAATGTGGTCAGAAAGAATACATTCTGTTGTATTTCAAAGGAAGTTTTCTTTTTTGAGAATTTGATTGAATGCACAAATTGGATTGAGTTATTTTAGAGGTCAACAGAAAGATCAACAAAAGGACTCACTCATCATAGTCTCCAGTAGCAGGTGAGGAATAGATATCGTATGGCCTGGAAAATACATAATATTGTATTGTAATTTTATATCTAATTCTGAAACATAGTACTTGGTTTTCAAAAGATATCAGAGTGTAGGTACTTACCCCATTTCTACACCCTCATAAAGATTCTGGCTGGAAAGTACGGAAATGTTGATCAGAAGACAAGCCAAAGCAAGTGAGACAAGACGTTGTACTCTGCCATCCATTTCAGTACTCACTCAAAATCAATTTCAACAAGATCAGCAGCAGCAGCAGTTGATGTTGAAGGCCTGCAATTAAATAAAAATTAGATGTCTGAAGATAAAAATTTACTTAGGTATGTAACTGTGCAGCGCAGCATTTCAATACTCACTGACAGTCAATGCCCGTTGAAGTTGAAGGTCTAAAACAAAAATTCAACATACATTAAAATAGATTACTCTTTTTCCCTAACAGGTGCAAGATGTCAAGTAAAAGAAGGTTGCATTGTATTCATAACTGTTATAAATGAAAAAGTTGTCTAGAAGAGCACGCAGAGTCTTACTTTAACAACGTGTTGATAACTTACTCTGGTGTGGGATTTGCTGTGAAGCTGCTGGTGAAACAAGGTCTGTAAAATATGAAATGAAATCTCTTTGAACTCTCTACTCACAGGGGCTGGGATTGTTACCACTTGAGATGGGCATTATCAATCGCACTCCCCCATCGGTACCAATCAATCAATTAAATGGTTTTGAATGTATAAGAAATTGTATTTACCTTTTGGTTGCAGTTGGGGCGGCTGTAGAGTGGGCAGGTCTGGAAAAGTAAAAGTGCAAGATCAAGTGACAACTAATGGAAGAAACATAACACTGGACAATAATTTGGAAGACTTGGAAAAATTAAATGGAACCACTCACGCAATGGCTTGCAGATTGCCATCAACATTGCCCATCTCCTCTGCAGTGGCCTCCTCAATCGAACTAGGTCTGTAAAATACAGTTATATTGTTAGTTTTTTGTTACATTAAACACTAAATTTACACAAATAATAATGATGATACGTTTTTTCATTTGCTCAGAAACCTATAGAGGATGGAGTCTCGAGAGCAAAAAGTTAAGATACATGATTCCTTTGAGATTTTGATCAAGTGACAACTAATCAAAGAAACATGAACACACTGGGCAATAATTTTCCTTTGTTTGAAAGAATAGGATTACTCACTCTTCAAAGGTGATGTCATGGTCTAGGTTTGCAGTTCTGTAAATTAATGAATATCTTTTAACACATCATTCTCTAGAATTGATTATTATATCTATCTGTCTTATTATAACTGACCTTTTCCTTGAATTTTCAGGGTTCCTTGGTCTGGAAAAGTAATAATGGATATTAGGATTCAGAAAGGGATGTGAAATAAGAAAGTGTTGGTTTCACCTGGTTTGAACATCCTGCATACTTACACTCCTTCACCATCCTCTGAGGCAGGTATGACAGGCCTGAAAAATGTGGAGAGTGCATCATCAGTAATATTGCAAGAAATATTGACTTGGAAAAATTAAATGGCGGTACCACTCACACAATGGCTTCAAGATCACCATCAACATCCTCCTCATCCTCAGCAGTGGCCTCAATCACAACAGGTCTGTAAAACCCAGTTCTATTGTTAGTTTTTTAGCATACGTTACATAAGACACGGAATTTAAACAAATAATAATAATAATCACTCACTCTCCAGGCACATCGTCTGGACAAAACTGAAGAGCCATAAAGTCCTTCCTCAAACTGGGCTGAGCCAGGATGAGGAAGTCCCTTATGCTCCCAGTGTGTGCATAGGTCTTCTTAGCGTTTTCGATGTCACTGTCGAGCTCATGCTGACGATGGGACACTTTCTGGCTGGCAGTTTTGTTGTAGGTGGTGATGTTTTTTGTGGTGTTATCATACTGCCGCCAGCTGTCCTTTTCGATGTCTTTGATGATTCCTGAAATATTTTAGTATCAAAGTAAGGTAAGAAAATTTTTAAATTGCAAGAGAACTTAGGGGGAGACTATACTGAAATTGACGTATCCATGATTAAATGTTAGACATCTTTGAGAGTGTGATTTTTATTTTCAGTGGAATGGGGTCTGTAAGTCCAACCATTCAAAAGTTACAGTAATTAGTTATATTTTGCAAGGTCCTACTAGAACTGTTCCTTGAACGTAAAAGGCTGAGGTAATAATTTTTGAAATAGCAAAGGACAAAGGAACAACTTCTCTAAGCTAGAATTGAAGTATTATTTCTGATTTTAATTTTTATAATTTGTACCATTGTAACTTTTTTTAAAGTTCAAAATTAACAAAAAATATATCTTTTATTATTCTGTTCAGATAGAATATATAAGAAATCAGCAATTCTGGCTTAGAGACCTCATTTAAAACCGAACTTGAGATGACCATCTCTGTAACTAAAAATTTGTAATGCAATAAGGAAGTTTTGGAGCATTGAAAAAAGAGTATCTACATAAGTATTTAAAGCTCATGAAAGCATAGATTATAAAAAGTAAAGTGGTACTATTGTGGGACACAAACTGTCCACAGAATCAAGTTAGAAAAATAACAGAAGAAGATTCCAAATGACCTATGGTGGATTTTGTACAAAATTACCATATTTTTAGTTAAGTCTCCCCCTTGACCTGAAGTTTTTTCTAAAGAAAATGGTAAAAGAGTTCACAACTCTACAGTAAAGCCTTTGGTGAAGTGTTATGGTTACTTACGGAGGAACTTCCAAAATGTTGGGTGCTTGTCCCTGACGGCAGCATTCACTTTTCTGGTGACGCAGATGTGCCGTCCATCAACGGAGAGCTCGTGGAGAAACTGGTCCGACTTGTTGACCCAGGTGCTGTTTAAATACTCAGAGAACTCCTCACACCGTTGATAGACGGACTGTGGCACAACATCCTTTAGAAAACCCAGGACCACACCATACCCAGCTTTGATCAGTTTGGCCGGGAGTCTTGGCAAGAGGCAGCACAACCTCAAGAAGAGTGAGGCGTTGTCTTCCTCCTTCCTCTTCGAACTGGTCTGCCAAAACTCCTTCAGGCCAAAGTACACGGCCTTATCATGTAGACACTGAAAACAACATGCATTTCCGAATATGTATCGGTTCCTACGATTTAAACTGTTCTTTGTTGAAATATTTCGGTTCAAAGACAAAAAAAGTTATTTTGGATCTGTGCAAAAAAAAAATATGTTTTGTTGTTTTCTCTGAATTAAAAAATATGTTTTGAATAAGAGACAAAAATTTTTCTTCTAATAAACGTGATAGTCCTAACTTTGACCTTTCCGAAAATATTTGTGTGTGCGACAAATAGGGCCCTAAGTACGCCGAGGGAAAGGGTTGGGTGTCGCCGCAGCGCGGCGCGCTCACTCCGGCCGTGCCCCGGGCGGGCTGCGCCGCTGACTCTCACAACTGCCGCCAATCGGAAACTATTAGACCTACAGACGAAAGAAAAATACCAACGTGTTTGTGAAGCATCGCGCTTTCTAGTAATGCAATATTTAAACTTCATATTTATAAAGTACACACACACAAAAATAATAATTTAGAATTTTATTTTTGGGCTTTTTGCTCAGGGGTGTCTATTGTCTCGTGCAAAGTGTTTCTTTACCAATTGTTGAGAACACCGCCCCTCATCCGCTCGCGCCCCTAGTCCCTACTGCACAGCAGGCAGCCTGTCCCCGGCTGGCGGCAGCAGAGGCGTAATTCGTGATCTACACACTTCAATGCACAAGTCAAACAAATTAGCTCACTATTTCAATTTTCCTAGGTTGGGAAGATCGGTCCCGCGCTATATGCAGGGAGGCGACCAGGACCAGGGGGCCCCGCATGCCAGCCGCACCCGCTCCAGGAGCGAGCCCTTCGAGGTGGAGAAGCAATGGATCCTGGGCGCGGAGGTCATCGGCTTGGCGGTTTTTCAAGGTAGCGGAAAGGGGAGTGTCGTCAAAGTGTAGTACCTGCAGGTGAAGGCCAACAAGCGAGGTGATGAATGGGAACAGCTGTAAGTGGCCGACTGCACAGCGTATTTGACGACAAGGTGGCAATAAAAATTCGCTATCACCGCAGCTGCTACAAGTCATTTTGCTCGTCAAAAGTTTCGTCTGTTTTTTTCTGCACCGCCTAAACCTAGCCCTACATCAGCTGCCCTATCTACCGGTGCCACCCCATCACCCCACCCGCTGTACAGCGTACTCGTCTGGCCCCGGCTACGCCCGGGCCCTTCAGGGGCCGCCCGAAGAAGTCGCCATCCCTTCCTTCACCAATCACCCCACTTCGAGGAGCCTCGCTGAAGGCCCACAACCCTCGTGTCGGCCGGGGCCACGATGCCGGTAAGTTGGAGGCCTTCGAGATGCTGTGCACTTATTTGAATGATCATTGTGACAAGCAGTACACCATGGCCGACATAATGGCGCTACTTGCTAGTTCTAGTTCCACTGTAAAAAAAGTTTTACTGAATTTTCAGTACTTTCAGTCTGAAGTTTTTTTTACAGACCAGTAGTCTGAAAATTCAGACTGTACTCCGGTCTGAAATTTCAGTAGTGCCTTACCATACCACTTAGTCTGAAAATTAAGACAGCCGGTATGAAAAATTTTTGAAAATGTTAAAAATGAACCCATAGCCAGCGACTTAAACTTGTTGAGGTAGAGGGTTATGCCCAAGTGGAAGACATCGTTCTATTTGGCACCGCCGTTGGTTGGGATCGAACCACCAACCTTCGGGATACACGCAGAAAAAAAGTTCGCCAGGGTGCTTAAAAAATAGCACCGTTGCTAATTTTCACTTACTGAATAGACTCAGCTAAAAATTTAGCCCCGGTTCTAATCACGTTACGAAAGCATGATTTGCACCAGTGCTAATCAGGTTTAATTGCGGTGCTGAAAATATTTGACTGAATTGCAAATTTTGTCGGAAGTAAATTTTCTGGCCGAAAAGAGGGAAAGGGGTGAGATTGAGAGTAAGGGCGCGAGGCATTGGAGGGTTAAAGGTCCGTCGGGCCGCAAGAGGCCGGCGACTTGTCAAAAATTGATCACCAGCGCGCGAGCGCCGTGATATCAGTGGATGCGGAGGCCCCGGCATATGGCTGATAGAGCGTGGCGGTTCAGCAGCGAGAGCTAAGAGTACACCCAAATGTAAAATAGTTCGATTGATATCTAAAAGCTGGTTTCACCACAGCTACCCCTATTTAACTGTTGGGTTTTAGTGGCACAGGTAAAAAAATTAGCAAATAAGAAAAGCAGAACGCTTCTCCAAAATCTTTCTCGAGAATAACATTTAGTTAACTTGATTGATGAACTCAGCAAACACGATTAGCACCCGCGCTAATTTTTCTAGTCGGACAGCAACCGACGTACTATTAAAAAAATTAGCACTCAACTGAATATTTTTTTTCTGCGTGTAGGAAGCCGCTACCTTAACCATTCGGCTGCGGGCTACCTGCGTGGGGATCAGCGTCGGCTACTGTTGTTCTCCTTCCGCCTGCCCGGTGGACTTTCCATTAAAAATTAATACCGGTAACTCTGAATTACAAATTCCGTGTATAGTCTGAAAATATACTTAAAAAATTTCAGACAAATTGCTCTGAAAACCTGATTCAGAGTAAAAAGTCTGGATTTTCCGTCTAAACTCAGAAAATCTTGTGTCATGGTCTGAAAACAAGATTCAGAGTGCCAAATCTGAAAAACATGTTCTGAATTTTCAGAATTTTTTTTGCAGTGTCAGACATGTACTGCTAGGAGCACATTAAGAATAAGCTTATAGAGAGATATGCGGGAAATCTTACGTTCATTGTAAGAAAGGGCCTCGAACCTCTGATATCGTTCTCGGCGACGTCTGATAAGATTCTTCTCCAGGCGTACCTTGCTGAACAGATAGATAAGTACAGCCTGGATCAGGCCGTACGAGTTTTGCGTAAAGACATATAGTCTTTGCAGCGAAGTGCTGACACGTACCCAAGTATAGAGAGCATTGAGAATGGGTAGAAAGATCTCATTCCGTAGAGTGTTCTGTGCACTGTGAGAGAGATAGTCACAGTCAAGAAGACGGGAAATTACGACATAAAATGTCTTGCTATTGCACACTCAAGTGTCGCTGCTGCCAGGCCGAGAACAATTTTGTCCCCGTTGCAGTTGGGTGTTGCTGTTTATCTCCATCGAACTTTTGGTACACTTTAAAAAATGTTTGGGGATTCTACTATACGCATGAATAGGAAATTTCCTATATATCGTATCGGAAGCGAAAACTCCTATAAATGTATAGGAATTTTCACATTTGGGAAGATGTGTATGGGAAAAGTACGAAGTGTATAGGGCAAATCGGGTAAAAGTCCCCGGGTCGGGTAATGTGCACGGTAATGTTCACATTAGCCTGAAATTCGGTTAAAGTGCCCCGGGTCGGGGCGCATTGTCGTTTGGGAACATTACCCGGCTCATGTTTTCGGGTAACCTGGGCGGGTGGTGGCGGGTACTGGGGTAACAATTGGGAAGGGTGTTATTCGCTTTTATTGGTGCAGGCAGTCCCGTCATGGCATGAGCTGTTGCATAGGATTCCCTTGCGGCGGCATCCGCAGAGAGGCCCACACCGCTTTTTACAGTTGCATCGCTGGTAACCCTGCCCCCCAGCAAGGAAGCTGCTGTAGCAAGCCCGCGCTTGGACTGCGGCTTGTCACTGATGTCGTCTAAGTGCAGCACTCTCTCTTTTGACACGTCGAACTGGTTCCGCGAAATGAGGTTCTTGAGTGCCGTGCTTGTTGCCAATTCGTTAAAATCCGTCGTCCGTCTTGTCTACGACCACGGCTACGACGTTCCGTGCATCGCACTTGCTGCGATCTACCAGAGGGACGGCAAGAGTCACGGTGTCGCCCACCTCAGCGGGCTTGTGGAGCCGCTGTGAAGTTGCGAGCATCTTGCCGGCCTGCTGCATGAGGCTGGAATGGGCACCCTAGCGCTGCAAATCTATCTTCTCTTTTCTGTGGCACAGATTGCACAGCTTGGTGCCACTGGTGCCGCACTCGCGATGGGTGTAGACGCCGCAGGTACACCGGTCACTCTCATCAGCGAACTTTGAGCAGACTGAGCAGATTCCTCCCCACACCTAGAAAAATGAAAAGTTGTCACAACCATCGTACGGTTACTTCAGGGACAACCATAAAGTGATGGTTGAGGTAACGTTAGAATTGTTCAGAAAACGAAAATATAGTTCCGACAACTGTAGGATTGTTAATTTTTTAACCATATTATAGTTGTCCCTGAAGTAACCACACGATGGTTGCCACGACTTTCCATTTTTCTGGCTGCAGCCAAGGATGGGGGAAGTCGGAGAGGTTGCGACCCCCGGGGCCGAAAGGGGCAATCTTCGAGGGAGGGGTACTCTCACAGCTGGGATGTCGGACGGAGTGGCGTAGGGTGCTTGGAGGGCCGGGTGGATTGTACTACGTGTGGGGGTTGACTGGGCTGGTGACCGAAACGGACCAGCGGGTGACTGGACAGGTGACCGAAACGGACCAGCGGGTGACTGGACAGGTGACCCGAACGGAGAGTAGGAGGGGTTGGGGCTGGCGCCAGGTGACCGGAAGGAGGGGAGTAGCGGGACAATCAAGGGCGACGGCTGGAACTCGGACGGAGGTGGTGAGGGGACGATCTCGATGTCGGACGGGAGGGGCGGAAGGGAGTGGACTGGATCTGACAAGCAGATAATAATTGATCAACAATTGACGCATCACAACAAGGACATACTCAACTCACACACCCCTCGCACATTACCTCGGGGTCGCGGTCGCGCCACGGAAAGGACTGGAGAGGGACTGAGACCCACAATGCCACAGACTCACGCCCGTTGTCAGATTGGAGAATTACTGGAGCACCGATGGTCAAGAAGATTTTCAGCAGGTTCTCCGCCACCTCCTTGGCGGTCTTGGTGCGCATGAGAGTCAGCATCACGAACTTGGTGAGATGATTCTGGTAGGTCATTATGTGGCGGAACTCGCCGTCCGGGTGCGATTGAAAGTCTATGAAGTCAACTTGCGCACGATCATTCATTTGTCATTGTTGACTAGTGGCTTCACGACTATCCCCCTCTTCTTGGTCTTTTTCTTCGTGAGGCAGATCTCGCAGAGGGACGGGAAGAGCATCACCGCCTCCTATGGCCGCAGATAAGACGATAATTTTTGGACATGCAATACTACTGCACGCCAATCATAGAGAGCTTCATTCTTGACATAGTAGAGGAGGGGGGGGGGGGGAGAGAGAGAGAGAGAGAGAGAGAGAGAGAGAGAGAGGGGGGGGGGGGGGGGAGGGCTCCGATAGTGGCTTGATAGGGCGCCACTCCTTGGAGCCGTCCGGAAGTGACACTTCATGCACGTCATAGTTCTGGTATTTGCGTTGGTCAACGCCCTTCTTCCCCTTCCCCAGAACTCCAGCAACTAGTTTGTCGTACCTCTCGGCTCATTTGCATTCTTCTCACTTAAAATTTCGTCCAGTTTGGCATAAAACTTTTCCCTCGCCATGATGGCGCCTGCTGTCTGAACTGCCTGCATGGTTGTTGCTCAGATACCGCCCCCGCCTCGCCCGCCGCTGCGCCTCCCTTCCCTATTGTTGCCACCCTACCCGCCCACATTACCCGAAAACATGAGCCGGTTGATGTTCCCAAACGACAATGCGCCCCGACCCGGGCACTTCAACCGAATTTCAGGCTAATGTGAACATTACCCGGTTAATGTGCACATTCCCCGACCCGGGGACTTTACCCGTAACATATGTATAGGAAATTTACTAGATGATGACAATTTTTCTATACAATGTTCGGAATTTAAACAAGCAGGCCCGCCCTTCCGCCAAACGGAGTTGCCAGCTCCACTGCGCTGCGCCGGCAACTCCGTTCGGCAGGGGCCGGGCCTGCTTGGCCTGCCGGCGGCGATGGTCGGGCCGAAGGCCCGACCATTTCAGTCTCGCGATTTACTGAAGTGCATAATCAAATAAATAATGTGACCGCCCGGGTGGAAAGGAGTACAGAAAAACTGCATTTGAAACTGTACTTGCCTAACTGTAGTTGCGAAACTATAGTTATGTATGTATTTTAACTGCAATGCTGGTTATAATCACGACTACATGCTCAAATAACAGTAAGAAATATAAATAACACACACTTTTACTGCTCTCGCAACTACACTTGAGAATGCACCCCGGAATGTAAGTGGGATATTGAGTTGTTGCTGTAGTTTTAAAGCAGATAAATTGACAATATGATTCGCTCTTTCAATTGTACTTCGTGAATTCAGTCCGTGTTACATTCCATATGCAAAAAATATATAGTTAAAAAGAATTGTAATGACTGCTCTCGGCTGTACAGTACATTTGTGCGATCAGTTTGCAGAACTACTGCTGTCTCTTTTATAGTAAACAGTCCTTCATAGTATGTTTTTCCCTGAACATTGCACTTTGTAAACAGACCGGGCTGTAGAGGCGACTCATCTGTCTAGCAGGTAAAAGACATCCTGGAAAGCCCCGCTCGGCCCCGCCCCCCGCACACGTGCCGTTCTGCCGGCCGGAAGCATATTATGGGGGGCCGAATGCGGCGGAAGGAAATACCCCAAACCAGGCCTAGCTACCTACTTAGGAGGGTGAGTACGAGTTTCCCACACTGCCGGACGTGCTCACGATGCCTTTTTTTTCGCCTCCCCGGCTCGTGGTAAAATAGTTCTACATAAAGATATTACGCGCAGAATACGTATACATGCATATATCAGCCGGTGTGCACGTTTTGCACGTGAACTACACTGCTTTTGTCCTGTGAACTTAGCAGGAGGCGTTTTATTCGGTTGTAAATCTTAGGCAGCATAGGAACTACGCAACCGGTGGATTAAATGTAGCATAACTGTAGGTGGACTGTAGTTCGACTATAGTTCGACTGTGAGTTGTCGGACCGGACCGCATAGCATGCCATTGGATTCCTGCGAGACCCAGATATTGTTTGTCAAAGAGTCTTATAACTGGACTTTTTGCCATTGTTTTCAATATATCCTCCTCTAGGGCCGAAACAGTAAAAGATACGGCTAATGCGAGGGTAGTTCCTGATTCAGAACGTGTTGTTTTGGGGGGGTACTTCCTCTGACATTTTACGATTGGACGCGTCCTTTTACGTCTTTATGTGCAACGTGGTCATTTTCGCCGTATTTTCGTCGAAAAAAGCACTCTAGCGCCCAAACGGTGCAAGATAGAGTCAAACGGACAAAATTTTCGCCCAAAGGGCTCTACTTTCACGAGTTACCCCTTAGGAGACCATAAAAAAATATTTTTTTTCTACTTTTTGGACCAACCCCTATTTCTTTGTTACCCCCTTTCACCCCCTTAGGGGTGGTTGCTAGGATTTGCACCAGGCGTTTCGTTGTCCAGGAGTGACCCCTAAGATACCCTGAAATCTACAGACCTCTAGCTCATCTCCTTCCTCTTACACGGACGACGGACAGACGGACGGACGGACACGAGAGCGGTTGCATAAGCCCCCTTTAATGCTTTTTTGAGAGCAGAAGGGCGGGCTAAAAACGGGTAAAGATATGCAGATCTTTTTACCTTACACATCTTGGTCTGCGCGGTCATTTTACGAGCTAATTTCTGACGCCTGACGCCACACCACACATGGTTAGACACATTTAGAGTTTATTTTGCAGGTTAAACTCTAATAATCGAATTTCAAGTCAGGGCAGGCAGTAAAATTCTAAACTCGACATCAAAACATATGAGTAAATCTCCAAAGCCATGGGCTAGCCCTGGCTGACCCTCTGGTAATTGCCCAGCGAGGGGCGGCGCGCGGCTCTAGGATGACCCGGGGTTGGTGAGGCACGCCTCCCAACGAGTCCCCGTGGTCTAGAGGTCAGCGTGACGGGATTGCAAGCCAGAAGTCCGAGGTTCAACTCTCCATTCGGTAAGGTATATCATAATTAAACCTATGCTCACTTACTTAATTGAAATTACCGAAAGGCAGTAGGAAGGCGACAAGGAACGAGGACAGACCGCGGAGAAGTGGTTAAAAAAAACTGTTTCTTTGTTTAAAGAGCATCGGGTGTATAGGAAAATTCCTATACATGTGTAGGGATAATGCCACACACACATAGTACATATCCTACACAGATGTATAGGGAAATTCCGATACTTGCATGGTAAGAATACTATTGCGTATGGTAGAATTACCACACGTCTGTATGGGAAAATTCCTATACATGTATATGTGAATTGCTGCAGATGCAGATACATCAATAGGAAATCTACCATAAAATTTTTTTACACTGAGCAGTGAGGTGGTCGATCTTGTCAATCGTTTAGGGGCGTGTTTCTCCTGCAAGGAAGCCACAAAGTACGAAGATGCTATTGTTTTCTCAGAAGCACCCCCTCTCTCTCCTTTGGCCTAATTTGGAGTAAAGTTTTGACAATGTTGACTACAATGTCAATTCTCTCGACGGCCTACTGTCTTGGCACTGTCTCGGTGGAATTCGCAGCATAACACCCAGTGCAGCTGTTGGTGCAGATCCTCCTCTCCCTAGATCTGGCGTTCCCCGGACTGCACAGGAGAGATTTTCTCACGGTACCATTACCTCAAAAATGTCAAGATACGTCAAAAATCAAGGGCTAAAAAGCGTGCCCGTCCCTGACCACTCTCACGCGTACAGCATTAGTTTACGGCCTGTAGTGCATCCCGCTCGTCTGTTAGCTACTCTCTGGGTTTTCGGCATTATTTTACGGAATGTACCTTCTCCAGGCTGTAGTGGCTACATGGAGTTGTGCTCCAAGAACGAGCCCTTCCACATGAGTGCTGTGCACCGCCCTCCGTTTATAAATCTTTCCGTCCAAGGGGCTTGCCCCCGTACGCTGTAAAAACAATTCTGAGAGCTTTAAAGAGGGGCGTCCCCATACAGGCGTCCTTTGCGGGCTTGCCAGCCCTGCGTATCCCCTTCGTGCTCTTCGAAGAGGCAAAGTGATCAGTGAAAAGTGTCTTTAGCACAGAGTACACCACATCCTTTGCATTTGTAACCCCCAGTCCGTATAGGAACGTAACCTGGGAACATAATACACAGTTCATGAGAGGGCCAATCACACACAAACACTCTGTAAAAGGACACTATACACATGGGAGGTGTTTCGATACATTTCAGGTATTTCAAATAAATATTATTGGCTGAGCGATTAGCGAAGCCTATTACTCCAGTAGTGATCAAAACGTTTTGCGTCAGAGGAATGAAGGAAAGGGGGCTGGAAAGGCGATATTGTTTCGGCTCATCTGGGGTCCGTGCAGGCCTGCAAACAAGGCGGCGAGGGCGAGGAGTAAGACCCTTTTATTTACTGCTTGTAAATTACACGCATATCCGTTTCAACAGACCGATCTTTGAGATACTCTGCCATTTGTCACGGCTCACATTCGCCTGGCCTTGGCGACCTTGGGTTAGCAGCCCGCCCGCTTGTCCGGCAATAGCCGCAACACTCTGTACCTGCTGCACAAAGAAACAAGCAGACACACGGACAGACAGACAGACACGAAACTTTTTTAACATCACTGGAGTAATAGGCTTCGCTATCGCTCAGCCAATAAAAAAATAAAAGTGATATTTCAGGTTTTTTGGTTTTTGATTTTTTTGACAGGCCAATTTTTAAGCTAGGGGGCTCAAAATCAATACAATTCTTGCTTTTTATGGTACAAAGCTACACTCAAAATTTCAGGTACCTAGCTCAAACCGTTCTCGAGTTATCGTGATTACAGACAAACAGACAGGCAGACACACAGACAGGCAGACACAGACAGACACGAGGTCGTTTGCATAAGCCCGCTATATAGCTTTTCTAAAGCAGAAGGGCGGGTTAAAAATGACGGATAGCCTTACGGTTGGCGCGTAAGCTTGACAATACGGATAAACCGTGTAGTTTCCTTATAGAGTACGGTCTTTGTACGGTTTTAACTGCCTTAAAAGTTATCAAGCAATCCCGTAAAAATCCCGTTCTCATTTCTAAAAGTGTGTAAAATCCACGCCGTTAATCTTGCTGCACAAGTGTAAGGTTTTCTTTTCGGGTAAAAGGAGGCCTCCTTGCGTTAAGTGTGTGGCACCAAAAGTGAATGACTCACGCTGCGTGAGAATGTTAATTTAATTGGTCACAAGTCCGCAGCTACTCGCCGCGCCTGATGAGGTCGGCGGCCACCTCGGCTACCATTATGGTGGCCGCGAAGGTGTTGCCGCTGGGGATGGTGGGCATGACGGAGGCGTCCGCCACGCGCAGCCCTCTGACGCCGCGCACCCGGAGCTGCGAGTCCACCACGGCGCTGGGACATAGAGAGTGCAGAAGTTAGGAGAATTATAACAAGCAGGCCCGCCCTCCCGCGAAATGGAATTGCCAGCTCCGCTTCGCTCCACCGGCAACTCCGTTCGGCAGGGGCCGGGCTAGTTATGATACAAAACGACCCTGAAAATCCCAGGTCGCTAGCTCAATTTGTTCTCGAGTTATCGTGAGTACAGACAAACTCACAGACAGACAAACACGCGAAACTTTTCACTGGAGTAATAGGCTTCGCTAATCGCTCAGCCAACTAGCTATATGTACGCCAGACCACTTCTCGCGTAACAGGCTTCGCGATATCTCACGAAACACTGTTATGCTGCGACGCACCTGGCTTACATCTACCTAGGCCTGCGGCGCTGACACCCGCGTCGGGCGAAAGGCAGAGTCGTAGATAGGCCTTTGGCACCAAAGGACACAACTTTTACCCCCAGAATTTTATTTTAACGAGTTCCGCACCAGAGGCCATCAAATATCTGAGAAACAACATTAAAATGGTTTGAGGTCATTTTCGTGTGGAAATCGCCCTCTGGCGACTTAACGGTTAGAGATAGAGCCAAACGGACCTAGCAGGGGCCGGGCCTGCCTGGCCTGCCGGCGGCGATGGTCGGGCCTGCGGCCCGACCATTTCCGTCACGCGATTTGCTGAAGAACATGATCGAATGATGTAGCGGGCCTTCGGCCCGCTTAAACGCGTCGTCTTTGAGTTTGTCCCCTAGACACGAGAAAGGGATGTAACGGTGAAGCAACGCGACTACAACACAACCTACTGCTTAAAAAAGGATTTTTGGGGGTGGGAGAAGAGTTTCTTTCTTTTTTGCGGTTTTTAGGCCTTTTTCTACAACTAATTGTTCACTTTAGCAATTTTTAGCTTATTTTCGTCAAAAAAGGCCCTCTAGCGCCTAAACGGTTAGAGATAGAGCGAAACGTTTTCTAGGAGTGAACCATAAGATACCCTGAAAATTTGAAGTCTCTAGCACATCTCCGTCTAGTGGAACAGACAGACAGACACACAGACAGACACGAGGTCGTTTGCATAAGACCGCTAGATAGCTTTCCTAAAGCAGAAGGGCGGGCTAAAAAGTGCCCCCTTTCCCCTCACCCCTACCCGCCCGCGCCTACCCACTGCTAGTCCCTTTTGGGCCTAGTCAGACGGCGAGGAGAGGAAGGCAGAGTTTTGCGGATTTTAAATGATGCCTAGCCGCCTATCTTGCAAACAATTTTTAAATCGGCAGAAGGAACACTTATAAACTAATCAATATAAAGCTACGACCAATTTCACTCAAAAACTACCGGGATAACTGTAACTAGTTACAATTTTTGGCGAAAAAACGTAACTGTAACTGCAACGGCAGTCTTTCAGGAAAAGTAACTGTTACGGAAACTAGTTACATTTTTGGCAAAAATAACTGCAACTGTAACTAGTAACATTTTTAATAGTAACTTTCCAATCCCTGATCATGAAGGGAAGTGCTGTTTCCTTCCTCATTACCTGGCACCTATGGAAAGAAGGCGAGAGGCGAGGACGTGTCAAAGTGTATAAACGTTCCTTTGTTTTTTCACCAGTGGGTTACAGGAGTCTTCAAATTGCAATCAAAAAGTTGCCCTCACAGTAGCAGCGTAACAGCATTACTGACTCATGGGTTTACCGTGTTTATATTCCACAGCGTTCCGAAAGGCAATAGAGTCGTTCAGGTCACAAACTTGCATCACATTAATGGGCAATTTTCTTTTTTTGTGCATCATTACGATACAAATTTGTAAACTACGCGATTCGAATGTGTATCTGGCTGATAGAACTGAACCTTTCTAAACTCAAAACATGTCCTTTGAGCCTTAGAGATTCAGCATTCCTCCTCTTACCTCGAGTCGTCGTCCCGCCCCATGCGGCAGGTCCCGGTCCAATGCCAGGCTGTGGTCGTTGTTGTCCGCGCCACGCAGCGTAAGAAATCGTCAGATCCCATGGGGAAGTCACTGCAAAGCCACAAAAGCATATTAATGCGCTTAAAAAAAATTGAGTGGTGCCAATTGGCTAAAAATCTACACTGTAAATCTTGTATCCCGGGTAAAAATCTTCAGAGACTATTCGCGTTTATCTCGCGTTATCCTTCCCCTGAAAAAACACAAGATGCAAAAGATTGTAACTCCAAATGTTCCCCTTTTAAGAAGCATTCAGCGTGGCTAAAGAACGCAAAATGAACACCGGGACCACAGCGGATAGACGGCGCCTTCAGCCTCCACCGCCGTCGATTGGTGAGCGACTCATGTTGCTCTCCTCGTTTTGCCGTCTTTTGCCGTCTTTGTCGCGTATTCTGATGTTCCCTACAAGTTTCTGGGTGTAATTTCGGCGTTTTTCTCGCGTGCACGACGCGAGGAGGACGCAGAAAGAACGCCAAGAGAACGCCGCTCAGTGAAGCAAAAACGCGAAAAAGACGCCGGGCGGCCGGCAGGACGGCCTGTCATATCAGCCGGACCCAGCGGGAGTAGAACCACGAGGCTTGTTGTTTTGAATCTGTCTCGCTATCCACTGGGCCAGAGTGGACGGCTGCTCGGAGCCAGCGGCGTCGCGCTCACATGGACCCCGCCGTGGGCTGTCGATATTCACACTGTCGTTCGGTCTTGTCCACGTTGACCACCAGGTCAACGCCGTCAGCCCTCAAAGACACGCCTTTGTCGTCGACGGCGACGGTCATGTTCTCGGTCGAAGTGGAAAACAAGCCAGCCGACAGCACGCTCCGCTTGTGGGCTGACGGCGTTGACCTGGTGGTCAACGTGGACAAGACCGAACGTCAGTGTGAATATCGACAGCCCACGGCGGGGTCCATGTGAGCGCGACGCCGCTGCAAGGGACCGTAACTTATTGAAAATGGGCCTTATACGTTAATTTAAATGTTTATGTTGAGCGCCAAACTTGTAGCGAGTACGTGGCGCCAAACGTTATACGATGTAACTTTAAGTATACGTTAACGTATACTAATTAGCTAACTAATTAGCGCAATCCCTGTTACATATTCAACAACAATTTAGAAAACAGATGATTGTGCGTTGTGCGTTACTAACTGTAACAGTTAAATGAAACTCGAGAGTGAAAAAATACTGCCAAAACGTTCACGTTATAACTCGAAATTAGCTCGATGTAGGTTAGTGGTATCACACACAACTTATAGTTAACCAACAAACGTATCGGTAACTTTCAAAACGTTGTCGATTCTGATAAAGCAGAAGAACAAAATCGGAAAGTGGGAAGGCGCCCGCACTCCTCCGCGCCTGCCCTCCACCCCTGTTTTGTCGGTGGTTTTCTGGGTTCAGGGAGTAATAGTTGGCCAGGAGTATGGAATCTACACTTGTATTGTTCTGAATGATACAATCTCGCGATCCTCCAACTTCCGACTCTACACGGCGACTGCCGAGCCCGCACCGCAGGTCGCTGCGCTTCCAGCCGACCGGCCTGCGCCGACGGGGTGAATCCCTTGCGTGAGCTGAACAGTGATTCCGGTCGCACGTCTCTGCCTGGCGTTCGTTTATGTCCAGCTGACAGTCGCGGCTGAGTGGGCACCAATATTTAAACTCTGAGTGATAAGTTTGCCCCCCCCCCTCCCCGGCGCTCCCCCACTCTGCCCGCTTGAGGGTGCCTTCCCACCTTCCGGTTTTGTTCTTCTTACTACCGCTCGGCGCTCCATTGGCATGCCCCGTACTCTCCAAAACGCATCGCAACTTGCCAAAGTACTCGTTAGCTCTGATCCAGTGGTCTTCATCGGTCGGTCCACCAGTCCCGGGAGCGCATGGAAAGTAACATGTACGAGTGAGATGGAGTCTGGCCCGTTCGGGCATCTCACTGGCACCTGTCGGTCTTGGACGCTACCGTAAAAGCAACTCGTCTGCTTGGAGTCGAACCTCCTTCCGCACGATGACTGTCCGAGGCGCTACCCACTGAGCCAGAGTTGCTCGCTGTGGGAGGTGGGCAGGGCACCTCTGTCGTTCGCTCGCCGTTCGCCCATTTTATCCGCCAAGCGGCAGCAGCAAGCGGTGGCCGGCGAATTAGACCAGCGCGCTGCCCGCCGTTTCTACTCATCCGTTCTGGCCCAAAGGGTAGCGTCTCGGACAGTCACCGAGTGGTCATGGGATCGAAACCAAGCAGGCGAGTTCCTTTTAACTAGTTTCATTCTTTCTTTGAGCTGCTCCAGTCTCGACTAAATTTGCCTCAGATGTAGTCTGATGACGGCATAGATTTGTTCCCGATGCAGGCAGCGAGACCCAATCAAGTCTCAGGTGGGACTCAGCCGACTCCACTCACCCACTCCAATTCTGAACCCGAGGCGGAACAGCGCGCGCCTACTGCAAAAGCTGGGCAGAAGAACGAGTTCTTCTTTTGGAACAAGGCACTAATCGATCCCGGCCCCGAAGCCGGCCACGATTATCTCGGTTCGGTGTCTGCGTATTTGGCCCTTCCACTGGTTCAACTTTTTTTTAGCGGTTTGTTAAAGTTGTAAGCATAACATACAGTTAACAGTTAATCTCTAACCAAACTAAAGTTATAAACTAAACTAGTTAACAGCAAGCCGTTGGTTAAGGACAGGGGTCTCAGACTGTGACGTCACGCGGGCCGCACGAGTCGGACCTCTCACTCGCACTCACTGCGATCACATAGCTCCATCTCTCTCCAGTGCGGCCCTTGCGGCCCGCGGGCCGCGTGTCTGAGACCCCTGGTTAAGGATGTAACACTAATTTATAACTCACGCCATCCATGTGTTAAGTTATTCACAAACCAAACTTGGGTTAGTTACATACGTAACAGTTTAGGGCTGTGCCCGAAACTTTTTCGTTATTTGGATACCGTATAGAAAATAACGCAGGCCATACTGATACGATAAATAATAACGCAACGTTAAGAAATAACTTCAATTTCGGTACAGTCAGTAACTAACGTATGTTTGCGTTATGATAAGTTACGGGACCCCTGAATTTTTCTCTATAATTTTATAAACATTTCAGAGAGGTTTTCACTGAGTACAATAAGTGTTACAGTACACAGCTGTATTATTGACACTTTTTCAATGAAGGGTCACAAATCTCCGTGGAAAGTCCATAGACCTAAAGTGTGTAAGTTCTTAACACACTGGACTTCAATGAATAATAAAAATATAGGTGGTGGTTAGTTTATACCAATAAAGACGTCTTTTAAAAATAGAGCAGTACACTCTCATCCTGTTAATGACTTTTCTGACCCCTTGTCAGTAACAGTAACAGTGCTGTTTAAAGTTCTCTATAGACCACTTACAATTTTTCCCTCAGTATTACGAAAGAATTTCTTTTTAACACGTTCGGGCCGGCTTGACCACATTGTGGTCATAGCGAACTATCCCTACCGACGACGTGTCCACAATGTGGGCATTTTTTGTTCAATGTTCAAAGATTTTTAGAAAATCAGGGGATTGGGCTAGAGGGCTACTCTCTTCGGCTTTCGGTAGCAGAAACCTTCAAGAATTCCAGGCTTTTCCAGGTTACAGGTCAGACGGCTCCTTCAGCCCCTACCAAGGCAATGACCACAATGTGGACAGCCCGGCAGCAGGGACCGGCGAATTTGGGAGTCTGACGGTCGCATAGGGCATAAAAAGCGGCCGAAATGCCCACAATGTGGTCAGCCCGGCAGGAGGGGAGTGCAGCAGTCCTCGCCATGTCCACAGTGTGGTCAGCCCGGCACACGGGACAGTCAGGACCATGTCCACAATGTGACCAGCTCGGCAGCTGGGACCGACACTTCATGACCACATTGTGGTCACACCGGCGGGAGGGACCGGCATTTAATGACCACATTGTGGTCAGGCCGGCAGTAGGGACCGGCATTTCATGACCACAATGTGGTCAGGCCGGCAGTAGGGACCGGCATTTCTTGACCACAATGTGGTCAGGCCGGCAGGAGGGACCGGCATTTCATGACCACAATGTGGTCAGGCCGGCAGTAGGGACCGGCATTTCTTGACCACGATGTGGTCAGGCCGGCAGGAGGGACCGGCATTTCATGACCAAAATGTGGTCAGACCGGCAGGAGGGACCGGCATTCCACGACCACAATGTGGTCAGACCGGCAGGGGGGACCGGCATTTCATGACCACAATGTGGTCATGCCGGCAGAAGGGAACGGCTTTTTATGGCCACAATGTGGTCAGGCCGGCAGTAGGGACCGGCATTTCATGACCACAATGTGGTCAGACCGGCAGGGGGGACCGGCATTTCATGACCACATTGTGGTCAGACCGGCAGAAGGGACCGGCTTTTTATGACCACAATGTGGTCAGGCCGGCAGGAGGGACCCGGGTCGACTAACCCGACTACCTTATTTTGAGACTAGGAATCGAAAGAGCACCTCCTAGGTTTTTCGACGTTATCTCCGTACAGTGTGCCTTGAAAATGTTTTCGACATCACCATTCGATAGCTTTTGAAAAGACCTTTCCAACGAGGGTAAGGTTGATAGGGTTCAGATGTCTGGAAACGTAACTAGCGAACTACGCTTCAGAACCCTATCAACCTTACCCTCGTTCGAAAGGTCTTTTTTACAAAATCTATCTAATGGTGATATCGAAAACATTTTCAAGGCACACTGTACGGAGATAACGTCGAGAAACCTAGGAGGTGCTCATTCGATTTCTCGTCTTAAAATTAGGTAGTCGGGCTAGTCGACCCGAGTCCCTCCTGCCTGCCTGCCTGACCACATTGTGGTCATGAAATGCCGGGCCCTACTGCCGGTCTGACCACATTGTGGTCATGAAATGCCGGTCCCT